GCACAAGTTTAACTCAATAACATAACCAAATCATAAGCTAGAAGGGTACAAAATGATATACAATTATGAACCGATCAGTACACCAAACAGTCCTGTAGTTGGCCACTTTGTTCCCATCCCTAAGCTTCAATATGTAGCTGCCTAGAAGAACAGCAGAGAAGATCATCATCTCTCTATAAGCAAACTCCTTCCCCACACAAATCCTTGGACCTGCCTGTGTAAACCATAAATCAAATTTCTTCAGAATCACAATGATTTCGGTGTTCTGTTTGCTTCACCAAACCAAAAATAAAAATAAAATTTTGTAATATGTGTTAGTAACATTTTTTTCTTACACTGAAGACTATGTGTTTGAAAGAGCTTTCTTGCTGGACAAGGCCATTTTCGTCCAGCCATCTCTCTGGCCGAAATTCTTCTGCATCATCACCCCATATATATATTTCATCCTGCCCATGCCATAAGCATGGTGTGCCACCACATCACCTGTTTTGACACTAAATCCATCTGGCCAGGTATCATCAGAAAAACAAACCTTCCCATTCTACGACAACATCAAACAAACTTGTTAAATGTAAATTATAAAGATTCAAATCCATCTGGTCAGCAGACAATGTTGTTTATATCAGCTTAGCCTTGCAATTGTGTTTGAATTAGAGTTACCAGTGGAAGAGCAGGGTACAGCCTGGTTGTCTCATTCAAAATTGCAAGGAGATATTGCATTTTCTCAAGGGCCTCTTCAGTAAGGTTGTCTGCAAGCTCATCAATGCTTGAATTATCTTTCAGATTTGTTGCTCCTCTCACTTCCTGTGAAATCTTTTCTTGTGAGGATGCTTGTAGAGCATATAAATAAACCATGTAAGAGTGCTAGCCGTTGTGTCTTTTCCAAATGCAATGAGGCTGAGGACCATGTCTCGCAAGTACTTTGGATCAGTCTCTTCCGATGCCAAAAGCATTTAAACAATGTCTACTTTCTTCAACTGCCATTCATTCAATTATATTAATCAATAATAACATGAAATTAATTCAATCCAGGACAAACATGACCTAGAAGGTAACTCACAGCTCGTAGCTTATCTTCTGAATTATGAACTGTTTCAATCTTCTCTTTGATTAATTTATAAACAAATTGATCTACGATTTTCATATTCTTCCTTAATGCTGCTTCTGATCTTCCAGGAGAAATCAACATAACCATACATAGTGCTTTCGTTTGCCACATCAAAAGAATTGGAAAACCGGGTACCTTCTTCATTTGTCCCACACAAAGTGTCTAGTTCGACATCAAGGAGACTGAAAGAGAAACATATCCACCAATAGTCGGCTCCTCCAGCAACCACAAAGTGAAAGAAACCAAAGGCCAAAGTGTTTCATTCAGCTAATAGCTTGTATACCTCAAACACCAAAGTCTTACCTGCACATAATCTACAGCATTAACTGAACCAAACAAAATAGATCACCTCCGTTGCAACCACTGCCACGTCTCTAGAATTGTATTTGGAACAAAAATTAGAGCAGTTTCTAGAGAGAAGATTCTTAACTGATGCTCTGCCAAAAAGGGGATTCTGGACCCCCAACTCCAATAAGTTAGAACAAAATAGGAGAAGAAACCGAAACAGCTATAAAGAACAGAAAAAAAGGAAGATAAAAAATAAAATGAAGAACTCGTTTGTGAAGATTGGCGAAGAAGTTTTGATTATGCAGTTGAAATTTGGAACTGCAGCAGTTATGAGGAAATAGCAGCAGTTATGTGGAAATAGAACTCCAAGTCTAACGTGTGCTTTTCTTTTCTTTTCTTTTCTTATTCCTTATTCCTGATGCTTCCCCACCCCTCTCTCTGTTTTGAGTCTCTACTGCGCTGCGTTCTCCTCCAGCAAATGACCCACCCTATATTTTTTTTCTAAAGTCAGCTTTCATCCTTTCTAAAAATGCAATAGATTTCTGTTTGCCAACAACACAGTACGCAGCAAATCCCACAAAACACACTTAGATGCATACAAAGGAGGAATAAACTAATTAAATCGAAAAATTGAAAAAGAAAAAGAAAAAAAATCTTTTTGATACTCTAAGATAGGGAAGTCTTCCCCTGCTTCTTCTTACAAAAGAAAAGAGATAAACTTCAACAAAGGTGGAGGAATTCATTGTGTGGAAGAAGACGGAGGGCATGAATGGATGAATGAATTAGTGTTAGCATAATCAAATTAAACCGCAAGGCCATGTTTCAAAGATAGAGAGAGACATCAATGCAATGCAATCAAACTTGAGTAGAAGGGAAAAGAATTAAAAATCAAAATCAAATCGAGAGTGAATAGAATTAAAAATCCAAAACATACCGAAGAATTTAATTGTCAACCAACCTGTTGCCAAGTATCTTCACAGGTCTTCCTTGCACAGAAAAATTAAATTCATTGACAGGAAAATAAAGAAAACCATTTGGCGAACCAAAAACAAAACCAAAATGAGAGAGAACCAAAAAAAAAAAACCAAAATGAGAGAGAGAGAGAGAGAGAGAGA